GGGGCTCTGCTGCCAGGGGAAATACCCAGATTGTGTGGGAGAACTGGTCTGGTGAGGACCCCGTGCTGCTCCTGCAGAGCCCAGATGCCGAGGCTTGTCCCTGTTCCACACATACACCCTGTCCCTGTGCCACAGTCAAAGCTGCAAACTGCCCCCAGGGCTGGTAATGTTGGTCTATCAGTAAACTGGATGGAGCTGTCTGCGTTGCCAGGACGGATTCTGGGTGACTTCTGCTCCTTCGTATGATTAGTTTCCAATTTAAAGTCTGGACTAGATGGAGATGATTGGTGGAGTCTAGTTCATGGTCATTCCTTTAGCCATGGGGAGGTTAGTAAGCAAATACCTATCATCGTTCACCTCCATAGACTAGCTCTGTCCACAGGGAGAGGGACTCCCCAAACATAGAAGGGGCTCAGTTGCTAACGTGGCTAAAGAGCATGAGAAATGTCCTTGATAATACCCGAATACCCAATGGGTAACTTGACCACTGGGTATGCTTCTGAATTCCCTCCAGGGGCTGGCAGGTGTGGTCACCTCTAGGTAGATGAGGCTATTGGGAAAGAATACACACTGAAACATTATAAATTTCTGGGACATTTGAATGGTTGCTAGCATAATAAGGCCAAATATTTGGAATAGAGATTATTGAAGAAATTCACAACCTATAGAGGTAGAACATAAAAGCTTGGGACTTTCACCACATCTTGATCCGCAAGGGCAGACAATGCCAGGAAGAATGGAGGGACTCTACACGGTCACACAATGTAGGGTCTAGTTAATTTAAGCGTTTCCTGGGTGGCTCAGTCGTTGGGCATCTGCCTTTGGCTCAGGTCATGATCCTGGGGTCCTGGGATCGAGCCCCGCATCGGGCTCCCTGCTCTGCAGGAAGCCTGCTTCTCCCTCTCCCACTCGCCCTGCTTGTGTTCCCTCTCTCCTGTCTCTCTCTCTGTCAAATAAATACATAAAATCTTAAAAAAAAAGTTTCCTGAAAACAAGAGACAGTGAGTCAACATGGATATACTTAAAGTTGAGTCAAGACAAGGGGAGCGAAGTTTGCTGTAGAAATGAGCCTCCATGTGACCTGGCTTGGTGATACTCTGTGGGGGCAAGGGCTGGGCCTCCAAGCCTCAGCTCATGGATCATTGTCTCCCTTCTCACTCTTACCAAAAAATCAATCGTTAAGTAAGGGATAGGCTGTCCTGTTTCTCTATCCCCACAGAGTGATGGGTGGGCTGTTCTTTAGAAAGTGGGACAAAGACAGAACTACTCCCAGAGGGCTGGGTAGGAGCTGCTCTCTAGAAGGACGGCTGAGGGAGAGACTGCAGCTCACTGTCCAGGTGCTCAGCCATCTGGCAGGTCCTCCAGAGGCCAGCAGCATAGGGAGCCCTGCTGACCAGGACAGAGGAGCCCTCCTTCCCCCCAGAGGAGGCTGACAGGCACTGCCTGTGGACTGTCCTGAGAAGGAGAAGGAGCAAAGGGAACTAAATGCCCCTCCCCCAACTCCTGACACGTGTCAAGGGCTCTGCATCCATTGTATTTTGTATTCCCCATAGGGACACTTGAGAGAGACCATTTTCTCCATTTTACAGACTGGAGAGCCCGAATCCTAGAGCAGCCCAGCTCTCTTTACCTTCCCAACGTATTACCTTGAGGGGAAAAGGAATTGGCCACCATCATTTGGTTGATCTCTAGTCAAAGGCTGGAGGTTTTGTCTTTTTAATATACTTTTCACTGGGGAAAGAGAATAATAATCCCTAGCCTTCCCACCCATCAAACAAAAGCTCTTCAGCAGAGAAATCTTGACTTACTATTATTAGTTATGGGTTTTTTTGCTATTTCAAAAATAAAGTTTTGAATAAACTCTGGAATAATTTTAGATTTACAGAAGGATCGCAAAGATAAATACCTTTCACTCAGTTTCTCCTAATGTGAACATCTGATGTGGTTGTGTTGCATTTGTCAAAACTAAGAAATTAGCCTGGATAGTGTACTATTCGTTGATCTCTGGAACCTTTGGATTTTACTACCAGTTTATCCACTAATGTCCTTGTTTGTTTTAGGACCCAATTTAGGATATCACACTGCTTTGGGGAAACCTTGAATTTTAAGAGAACTTTCAACGTGCCCCTGGAGGATTTGACCCAGGATGGAAATGGTTTTCTTTGTATTTTCCCTCATTTTTCCTGCCAAAGTGCCATGAACATTAAGTGTTCTTTAGAGTTTTGTGGCTTCCATGAACCCTTAGTTGCTTCCTTGGGATGTTAATGCCAGACAAGTTGAAGCAGTGTGAGGATTTCGGAATAAAGATGCTGCCAAGATGCAAAATATTGTGGTCTTTGATTGGAAATTTGGGATATCCAAGTCTGTTTCTTCCCCCCAAATTCTAAGTACTAAAACCCAGTTGCTTTTCGTACAGACTTCTACCTCACATCTTCCCACGAAGTTGCATAAGTTTGGGCTCAGAGTCTTGCTATGTCCTGAGGGGAAAAGACAGGAAACGTAGGTGAGGTATTGTGTGAAGTGAACTGTGCGATTGGTTTCCCCGGGGTTATTCTGTCCACTGTTCACAGCACCAGGCATGTGCTGGCAGGATTTCAAGTCATGGAGTGTCTTACTATATCTGGGTTTCTGCTTATTGATCGGGCATCCTTGCTAATATAGTTTGTTTTCTTTTGCAATGGAACTAAAAAGGGCATCATAGTGCGGTATTGTTGAGTCTACGACAGGTCCCTTTTTATCGTCTACTGGTCTGGGCTCCTGGTGCTTTTGGAACTCTGTAAAATTTCAGGAGCTGGGCAGCTGGTAGGGGTGAGGGGAGGCGGTGGAGTCCCTGTCATGGATATATGGAACTGAGATCCCACAGAATACAATGGGTATTATGAGGCTTTATGAAATAGATCTAGCATAATCGTAAGTGCTCAACTGATTATTTAGCTCCCAATCCCCAATCTTTAATCCACCATAATATAAAAATATGAGTATATTATACAGCTGTACATTTAACACTACCCATCTGCCCATAGCCCACCTAACTCTTGGGCTTATTTTTGGAATAGTGATAATCCCTAGTATTTGTTGAGCATTTACTATGGTTAGGCAGTCTGCCATGCCCTTTACATGTTTTTGTTTTGGGTAATTTTTCCACAACTCTATGAGGTAAGTACCATTATTATGTTCATGCTTTGGATGAGGAAAATTAAGTTAAGAAACTTAATTTTATCCAAAGTCCCATAGCTAGGAAGTAGCGAAGCCAGGACTCGACTCAGAGCTGTCTAACTCTGAATCCAGTATTCTCTTAACCTCCTTGCTGCACTGAGCCAGGGGCTATGGAGAGTTGTTAAATACACGTACATTTTCCCAGTCAATGACTCCATACTCCCCCTTTAAGCAAAGATTACTCAAGTTCTGGAAATCAATAATCTAAATCATTTACTGAATTTTTCCTACATGCAGAGCTCTGTACTTGATGCTCAAAGGAATAGAGAGATAAAAGAAAATTCACAAAGTATTGGAGTGGAAAAAGCCCAGGAGAACAGAATTCTCATCCCAGTGCTATCATTGATTGGTTTGGCCACATCATCCAACTTCTTTGGGCATCAAATAATTTATCTGTAAAGTGAGCAGGTGGGATGAGATAAACTTAAAGGTCCCTGCCTGTTCTTTGATTTTTGTCCCACCATCTTTGTGCCAGACATGCCATAGGATAATGCCGCTGTCATCCCTGCCACAAGGATCACGGAACAAAACCTTTGAACACATGACACAATTTGAGCACAACAGAGAGGTGGATTGTCTACCGTAGGCTGTAAGCTAGAGCTGGACATGTACTTAACTTGAATCTCTTATGTACTCAGCAGTGTTAGGCATAAAAGACATATGTCGTAACTTCTGCCCTTATTAAGGGTACAGGTTAGTTGGGAAAACAGGACATAAGCACTTGAAACAATGACTAATAGAAGACATTAGATAATTAAGTGCTAAATTATGCTGTGCAGTCACTGTATGCTGAGAGTAAAATGATAACAAGCAACATTTACTGAATTTGTAGGCATGTGCGAGATTTAAGGGATGGCAAAAAACCCTAAACAATCAAGATAAGTAATACTTTAATGCGATTTTTTTTAAATTGAAAAACGCAAAGATTTCATGATGAGCAAACTATCAAGATTTTAAATAAAGACAAGTTCAGTCGTATTGATTTTTCCTTCCATCTCAGGCTCAAGTATGACTCAGCAGAGCACTGTGTATTAGCTACCACATCTTATGCTTTACATTCACTGTCTTATTTAATCCCCACAATGACCCTGATTATTAGATTCCACTATTAGCATCGTTTTATGGATGAGGAAGCTGAGGCTTGGATTGCTCAAGTCACAGAAGTGGTTAAGGGGCAGAGATGGAACTTGAACTTGGGTCTCTGGCTTCATAATTCATGCTTTTAAACATTGCCTTATATGCCCTTACAAATATACAGACAGAGCTCCCTGCCCCCGTGGAAGGCTGTCCCCCCGTGTTGCTGAGCTAGGGGTGGGCTCTGCCTGGGGCAACTCTGTGTTCCTCCTGGAGGGGTGTTCAGTGCACCTGTGCTCCTCATGCCTGTTGCCTCCTGACTGGAACCCTTGGGGGGGCTGTTCTCTCCCAACCCTGTCAATTCCACGAGGCTGCACAGAGGGGGGCTCCACCTAATGCCAAAACTCCAGGGTACACTTCACACTCACTTCATCCATAAGTAGGAAATCCAATGTGCTGTTCATCCGAATTGTGCTTTCTGCCCGACCCCACAAAAAGAAGGCTCTGTGGTGTTTACCATATGTCACAGCAAAGGAAACCATGCTGAACGCAGAACCTGTCTCAGAAACATTTGTCATCTTAGGCCCCATCTGCAGCACTGAGCTCTGTTTCCGGGCAGGAAATGAAACCACAGTGGGCAAGGTAAATCTTCAGCTTCAACTTGCCAATATGGGAGGGGTCATCATCGTCTTGACGCTTTACATCTAGCACACATTTGTCCGGGGTCGGGGGCAAAGACACTGCCCAGATGGGCCCACGGGGGCGTTTCAACTGAACTGTGCTGTTTGGGCCAAGAATCCACCCACGTGCCTTGGGGGCCTGGGGTTAAATCTCTGCTGCCCAAGATAATTGGTTGTGAGTACGGATAGAGGCTTGGGATAACTAGATGTGGGATAAAAAGAAAGAATTACGAACTGTCAGCACGGGAACTGATTTGGAGGTTATCTGGTCCAGGTCTTCATTTTACAGGAGAGGAGTTAGAAGCCCAGAGAAATTATGTGACCTTAGGAAAGGTCACATAAGCATTTTTCTGGCAGGCATGAGACATGAAATTGGGTAGATGACATTTTGAAGTGGCAATTTTAATGTAACCATAGGGCCATTTCGAAGATGCCTAAAAAGCACTGTTTTCAAAACACACAACAACACACACTTTCACTTTATTCATTGACCTCACCTTATCCCCTTATCTCAGGTTCAGTGGGAAAACATACTGAGATCATTTAGTGATTCCCGCGGTGGAGGCCCGTGGGCAGCATTATCGGTTATTTCTGTAGCATAAATAAGATGATCTGTAGTAGCACAAAAGCCTTGGGTGTTGTGGGTCTTGCCATAAACTGGCATGTCTTGTCTTTGTTTTTAGTTATTTTATTTTTTTTTGTTTTTATTGTTTATTGCAATGAAAATTTTTCTATTTTCATACCGTAGAATCAAGGACCTATGGCTTAGGTTTCATAATGTATATGGTTGATGACATTTACTACTCATAGTCCTATCATATTTCTGACCATTGTGAAATATTTCTTTCTCCAGGATGTTGAGTTATTTTGTCAGGTCACTGAGATGCCCACACTGGGAAGTTGTGTCTCTTTATCCTTCAGTCTTCTCTCTTCCTAACCTTCCCTAGGACCTTCCTAATTGTGGGCGGCTGGTCTTGTATAAATTCAAGAACCTATGAGGAGCAAGGCATCAATGTCTAAGGGCCATTTAATGACCTATAACCAAGAACAAGTACAGATATTCAATTTAAAAATATTAGGTGAACTGGGCACCTGGGTAGCTCAGTCAGTTAGGTGTCCAACTTTTGATTTCAGCTCAGGTCATGAACTCAGGGTTGTGAGATGGAGTCCTGCATTGGACTCCGCACTGGGTGTGGAGACTGCTTGCGATTCTCTCTCTCCCTCCCCTTCTGCCCCTCCCCCACCCTCTAAAAATAAATAAATAAGTAAGTGTGTGTGTGTGTGTGTGTGTGTGTGTGTGTGTGTGTGTGTGTGTGTATTAGGTGGACCTGTTGAGTTCATGGACTAGGGAATGTAAGTTCACGGTATGTACATCAACAAAATGGGAATAATTATTTGTTGCCAATTTCACAAAGATAAGGTATCTTATAACGTGAGGTATTATATATACATACATTATGTATGGCTTATCAATGACCCAGTTCTTATGGAACTACCCCGAGTTTCCTGATTTTAGCCCTTTATTTGGACTTTGAGCCTTTGTCTAAGAGATCCCCCTACCTGGACTGCCCTTACCTTCTCTTGGCATGGCAAACATTTTATCTTTTAAGGTCCAGCTCAATTGTTACTGCCTCTGAGAAATACTTCCTTAATCCTTCAGCTTAAATGGTCCACTCCTTTCTTTGTGCTATCATATGTTCTTGGACATACCTCAAGGATAACTGGTCACACTTTACTTGAAATTAGTTATTTCTATGTCTACCTCTCTTCTTCTTCTTTTTTTTAAAGATTTTATTTATTTGACAGAGAGAGACACAGCGAGAGAGGGAACACAAGCAGGAGTGGGAGAGGGAGAAGCAGGCTTCCCACCGAGCAGGGAGCCCGATGCAGGACTCGATCCCAGGACCCTGGGACCGTGACCTGAGCTGAAGGCAGATGCTTAATGTGAGCCACCCAGGTGCCCCATCTACCTCTCTTCTTGAGGACAGGGATTGTGATCCATCCATTTGGTGTTCCTGAACCCAGCATGGTACTTGGCACATAATAAAGCCCAGTAAATATTGGTTATGTAAACCCTGTCTTCCGAGGTGATGACACTCTCGAAAGTGTTCTAGCAGGTGCTTCAGTCAAGGTACGTAGGATAACTGGGTCTCCTGCTCCTTGGGTCATGTAGAAAGACATGACAATGGGTATCATAAATACATATGCCCCTTGATACCTGGAGTACTTCTGCTTCCTATTTTGCCAGTAAGATACTGGCATTTTGGGTACTGTGCCCGTAGGCATTCATATAAACTTGAGGCTGTAAAAGAAAACCTGATTTTTTTTCCCAGATGATTTCCAGTCTCCTTTACTATTGCTTTTAAGAAATAAAATACTTATTGAGGTATAATCACTATCCTATGCTGATTCCAAATTACCTTTTTATGCTGTTACCTCCTCCCATCTCTGTGATTTTATGCTCTCTGACAATACATTTGTCAGTCAATAAGTATTTATTGAGAGCTCTGCGGGGTATCTAGCATTTTTAACACACATAATAGTTTCCTTAAGTATTCTCCTGGTGTTATAACTTTGGCTTCTAATATAGTCTAAATGAGAAAAATATTTCACTTGAAGGTGTTGGGAAGTTCATAATCTTGAGATTGGTGCTTCTGATGGAGAAAGAGACAGTCATAATTTATTGGCCTATTATGTGTCAGGAATTAGGCTCCACAGTCTACGTACATTATCTTATTTGATCCCACATGTGTTCCACGTGTAGGTGGTCTGATACCGCACTTTATGGCTAAGGAAACAGAATCAGAGAGGGCAGGCAGCTGTAACTGGCAGAGGGTCAATCCAGGGCTTGGATTCAGGCCTGTCTGGGCTAAAGCCCACACTGTTTCCTATGCATTATTTTCTTATTTCATTAAATTACCCTAAAGGAAAACATTTGGAATGGTAACAATTGTAAATTCCTCAAGGCTGAGACTGTGCATAAAACTGAAATGTGCTTTTTGATGGTTTTGACACGTCTTTGTGTCCCTTTTTTCCCTATACGTGAAAAATAGGACTCAAACTGGGGTTCCTCCCTAAGCAGCTGGAAATGATGTGATGATTTCTCACCCTCCCTCCTTCCACATCAGTTCCAAAGGACAATTCACAAGACTTAACCCCAAACTCAAAAGCTGCACAGTGATGTTCCTGATTCCAACCACATAGTCATTCTTTTTTGTTTGTGCTTTTTATATGATTTTCATGTATCTTTCTGTTCTCTCTCTCTCTGTAATTCATCCTGGAACAAAGTAAAACAAAAAACCAAAAATCTACACTGTGTAATTTACAAGACATTTCAAGGTCATTCATTCATTTCTTCATTCAATCAATTGAACAATTTGTTTACCAATCAATTTTGAGCTCTTTGATGTGTCTAAAGTGTGTTTGAAAAATCCCCATCCTTGAGGAACTCTTAGGTGAGCATCTACACAGTTGACTACAAGATCTACTACTATTATTCCACATTAGTCTGAAGTCTAGAGGACTTGAGAAGAATAAGAAATGAATTTTATTGGGGGAAAGATGAGAAAACGGGAGAGTAAGGAAATGAACAGAATAGGGGAGTCAGGTGAGCTAGGTATTCAGCCATTCATTCCATAAACATGAGCTTGACCATCTCCTATGTGTCAGGCACTATTTGAGGCACTAAAAATGCAAAGGTGGTTATCCCCAAGGAGCTCACAGACTAGAAGAGGGAAAAAGACATGTAAGCAACTGAGAGTTAGATACCAAGACAGATGCACAAATTACAGTGTGACTGGAGAGGGAGGGCAAATTCTCTCTGGCATGGGCTTAAGGAAGGAAGAAGCAAGAATTCCTGGAGGAGGTGGATTTAGCTGAATCTTGAAGGATATAAAGTACTGATGTTTTGAAAGCTATGAAGGTGTTCGGGGGGGGGTGCAGAGTAAGCAAAAAAACACGAAACAGCAAGGCACATTAAGGAAGTTCAAGCAGGCAAGGGTTGGAGAGAGGAGTGGGGGCAGGTGGGCAGCAGTAGAGGATGAGTCCCGGTTGATGGTCAAGGGTTGATGGAACAAAAATGGCCTTGAATGCCGCATTAAGGAGTTCTTATCCTATAGACCTTGGAAAGCCATGGAAACATTTTTAAAGGAAAGATGACATTTGAGTGTGTTTTTATCTAAGTTATCAATGAAAGTAAATGTTTAAAAGTGAAAATTTAATACTAGTTTTCATATATGCTACTGGAAAAGTTTTTTTTATTATGTTATGTTAGTCATCATACATTACATTATTTACTTTTTTCAAATTTTTATTTTATTTTTATTTTTTATTTAATTTTTTATTGTTATATACATTACATCATTAGTTTTTGATGTAGTGTTCCATGATTCATTGTTTGTGTATAACACCCAGTGCTCCATGCAGACTGTGCCCTCTTTAATACCCATCACCAGGCTAACCCATCCTCCCACCCCCTTCCCCTCTAGAACCCTCAGTTTGTTTCTCAGAGTCCATAGTCTCTCATGGTTCATCTCCCCCTCTGACTCCCCCCCTTCATTTTTCCCTTTCTACGACCTTCTTTTTTTTAATATATAATGTATTATTTTTTTCAGAGGAACAGGTCTTTGATTCATCAATCCTACACAATTCACAGCACTCACCATAGCACATCACCCAGCCACCCCATCCCTCCCACCCCCCACCACTCCAGCAACCCTCAGTTTGTTTCCTGAGATTAAGAGTCTCTTATAGTTTGTCTCCCTCTCTGGTTTCATCTTGTTTCATTTTGGAAAAGTTTTTTTCTTTAAGCATTTATAATTACATAATAAATTTAAAAGAAAAAAACAAATTGCAAATAATGAATGTAGTTTTTAACATTTTTAAAAGATTTTATTTATTCATTTACTTTAGAGAGAGTGTATGAGTGCGAGGAGAAGCAGAGGGAGAGGGAGAGAGAGACCCTCAAGCAGACTCCACCCTGAGTGTGGAGCCTGACACGAGGCTCCACCTCATGACCCTAGGATCATGACTTGAGCCAAAATTAAGAGTCAGATGCTTAACCGACTGAGCCACCCAGGTACCCCTGAATGTAATTCTTTAATTAAATTTTTTTGAGATAATTTTAGATTCACATGCAATTATAAAAAATAATATAGAGACATCCCATGTACCCTT